ATTTCGAATGATATTAATTAAAAATTAGAGATTGTAGAGAGAGAAAAAAAAACTTGGGTTTCTTATGACCAAGTGACTAGCTGTCTGGCGCTCTGTGCAGTGGATATTTGTAGTGGTTCAGAATCCACTTTAAACCATCGGTCCTGGTCTAACTGCGTAAAAATACGTTACACCCTGTATTTACAAGCGCAGTATAGGTTCGGATTGGTTTGTCTCTCTACGGTCGTCTTGTGCACAGTTTAGGCTAAACAGACCGGGACCTACAGCTAAAGTGGATTCCGAACCAGTCACAAATGTCCATGCCATTGTCAGGATTCGAACCTGGAGCCTGTGGTAACAAAGACCAGAGCCCTATCCAATTGGCCATCAGGCCACGCTAGCAGTATAGGAGAAACGCGGAAAGCCTGATAGTGTATATGATATGCTTTTTTACACAGTCACAACTGCCATCGATATATTGAAAATAGTGACTGCAGAAAACTCCCTTGGCGGATTTGAACCTGAGCCCTACGGCCGGTAGCGACGCATTTTACCTCTGGGATACAAGGTGGGTAGTTTAGCTGTTCGAATTAATTTTTGTAGAATACATAGATTGAAATTGGTAGTTCAATTAACCTTTCTGTTCTACAAATTCTTACTGCCGTGGTGTGTACTAAAAGGTTAAAATTCGATAAATTCACTTCATTGAACAAATGCATATTTTTTTTCATTCATAAATGTTTTTTTTTTTTTTTTTTACAGAAAACGCTTGAAAAGAAAGCAAAGCTTAATTCATTTTCCTGTATTAATAGAAACGGATGTACGCGTTTAATAACTGAATACCAAAATTTTTATTTGCATATGTAAAAAAGGAGAAAGAGCAAAAAGAAGAAAATACCAATTAAATACATCTGAAAAATAAAAGAAGTATTTAATGTTATGATAAAAAGACATTATATTATTTTCGCATTAAAAATAATTTTTTATCAGTTGAAAAGATATATTCAATTTCCATGAATAAAAATGCAATCTTGGGTAAAAAATAAACTTGTTCTTTTTTTAAGGAGAAAAAAAGACAGAGAAAAATGAAGAGCTATAAGAAAAATAAAGGTGTTTTATTTTTTTTAAAAAAAAGAAAGAAAAAGATACAATAGAATAGATTTTGCAAAAAAAGATGAAGAATATTCTAGAAGAAAAGAAACAGCTAAAAAAAGTTTCAATAAGAAGAAAAGAAACAATCATATGTGGCCACAAGATATCGGTATTTTTTAATTTCTATTTCTAGCAGTAAAAATAAAAAATATATACAATTATAATTAAAAAAAAAAAAATAATAGAAAATTATTTTTCCTTAAATTCCTTTTTATTTTAATTACAATGAAACAATTTCCTACAATCAGTTAAAATATTTGATGAATACAGTATAACGACACTTATAAATTGCTAATAGTGGTTTATTTATTCGTATTCTGTAGTATATCTAACAGATATTCAAATGCATTACTTATTACTCAACAATCGGATATGTACTTGGAAAAATATTTTTACTGTTTTAAACATGATAGTCTATGAAATACAAGTATTAATCATTTTTTATTAATAAAGTACATACGAAAATCATACAAAAATAACTATTTTTTTATACGAAAATAGATTAAACTTTCCTCCCTAAATGTAACTTGGGCTAAAAGGGTTTTGTTTCAGAATTAATTCTTACATTACTCAATAAAAATCTTTTTCAGAATTTATCTTAACATATATTGAATGACATTAATTAAATGCTATCGATTGTATGTTAAAGCTAAAAATTAAATTAGCAGATTTCTGTATGTAATTTAATTTAATTCTGGATATCAATGAAAATATCCGCATGAAAGAAATAGAGGAGTCGTCTGGCTGATGTATGGAAACAACTTCTTACTTTAAGCTGAAAAATATAATAATTGTGGTTATGTGACGAATTTGAGGGAACGAATTCATTTATGTCCTACAGTGCAAAACAAAGTGCAAAAAAAAACAAAAAAAACTGGGGTCTTGAAACCGAGCAACTAGCGCTCTGGCGCTCTGTACTACAGGTTTCGGGTGCAAGTTCAGCGGGGCCATGGATGTTTATAGTGGTTCGGAATCCACTTTAAACCGTAGGCCCTGGTCTAATATAATCTTAGAGCATTGTGAGGGTAGTGTTACTCGCTTCCGTAGCATATCTTCAAGTTACACGTGCCCCCTGGGTAGTGCTAAATGAGTAACAGCGGCGCAGCCCTTGTTTATGGCATAAAGACGGACTCCACCAGCGGATTTGAACCTGAGCCCTACTGCCCGGTAACCCCTCTTTTTACCTCTGGGACATTATTAGCATTGTTTATTCTGTGCGATTTTATTTTTGAGGAATACATAGTTCAAAATTGGAAGTTAAATTAACCTTTCTGTTCTGCAAATTCCTATTCCCGAGGATGTGTACTGAAAGTTTAAAAATCGATAAATTCATTTCAACGAATAAATACATATTTTTTTCATTTATAAGTGCTTTTTCAAAAAAAAAAAAAAAAAAAAAAAATTTGAAAAGAAAACAAAACTTAATTCATTTTCTCTGTATTAATAGAAACGGATGTACGCATTTAATAACTGGATACCAGAATTTTTATTTGCAAATGTAAAAAAGAAGCAAGGCAAAAAGAAGAAAAGACCAATTAAATACATCTGTAAAATAAAAAAAGTATCTTATGTTACGATAAAAAGACATTATATTATTTTCGCATTAAAAATTATTTTTTATCAGTTGGAAAGATATATTCAATTCTCATGAATAAAAATGCAATCTTGGGTAAAAAATAAACATAAAATATAAAATGTTCTTTTTATGGAAAAAAAGGAAAGAAAAAAAATGAAGAGCTATAAGAAAAATGAAAGTGTTTTTTTTTTTTAAACAGAAAAGAAAAGAAAAATATACAATAGAATAGATTTTACAAAAAAAGTGAAGAATATTCGAGAAGAACAGAAGCAGCTAAAAGAGCTTCAATAAGATAGAAAAGAAACAATCATATGTTGCCACAAGATATCGGTATTTTTAAATTTCCATTTCTGGTATTAAAAAAAACACGGAGAATTATTTTTCTTGAAATTCTTCTTTATTTTAATTATAATGCATCTACCTCCAACAATCAGTTAAAATAATATATGAATACGGTATAGCTACATTTTTAAATTGCTAATAGTGGTTTAATTGCACACATTTTGATGCATGTCTACTGATATTCAAGTACATTACAATACTTAACTATCTTATGTATATTTAGAGAAACTCTGGGCCTGAATGGTCGAGTGGCTAGTGCTCTGGCGCTCGGTACCACAGGTTTCGGGTTCGAGTCCCGGCGGTGCCATGGTTGTTTGTAGTGGTTCGGAATCCACTTTAAAAAGTAGGTCTCGGTCTAATAAGATCGTTGAGCGTTGCGGGGGCATTGTTACTCCCCGTCCGTGGCTTATCTTCAAGTTACACGCGCCCCCTGGTTAATGCAAAGTGAGTACGTCTGTGCAGCACTTGCCTTCAGGCATCCAACACCAAGGTGTCTGTGTTTGCCAGCTGCATTAGGAAAAAAAAAATTAGAGAAAATCAATTTTACTGTTTTTAACAAGATAATTTTTGAAGTATAAGTAAGTTCGAATTAAAAAAAAGATACAAAAATCTTACAAAATTTGCCTATTGTAAAAAAAAAAGAATGAAATTTCCTCCATATATGCAACTTGGGCTTAAAAGGATCTGTTTCAGAATTAATTCTTACATTACTCAATAAGTTTTTTTAGAATTTATCTCAAGATATTTCGAATGATATTATTTAACCGTTAAAGATTGTATTGTTATAGCGCAAAAATAAATGAGAATATTTCTGTATGCAATTTGGTATAATTATGGACATCAATGAAAATATCCGTATGAAAGAACTGGAAGAATTGCCTGTCTGATGTTGGTGACAACTTCTAAATAAGTACAACTAAAGAACTATAACTAAACAACTTCTAAGTTTAAGATGAGGAATATTATCATAGTGATCACGTGTGATCATTGGAATATAATTATTGGATCATTGGGAAATATAATCATTGTGATCTAATTTATGCTTTAAAAACATTTAGAGCCATATTGACAAGTGACTGGCACTCTGACACTCTGTGCCGCAGTTCCGGTGGTGCCATGGATATTTGTAATGATTCGGAATCCACTTTAAACAGTAGGTTCTGATTTAATTTGGCTGTAGAGCGTTGGGGGTTGGCAACGTATCCTACCCCGTAAAAAGAAAAATAACATTCTTTGTCACGAAATCTGCCAGTAGGTAGAGAGCCTTGGCCTACCATGGGGCTTAAAGAAGAACTACATAAAACTTATTAGATATATTTTTTAGAAGGGATCCTTGGAAATTCGTCTTTCAGCACATATAACATATTTGATGCCCTTGGTGTCGAAGGTGTAGGTCATCAAGGATTGGGTTCAAACGTTCAAATGAGGAAACACTTATGTTTTCATATATGCTTTTTGGGTCAAATCGAAGGTTTTAGGAATCTGGTTGTAATGAAAGTTTAATAATTTTTTAAAGGGTAATTACCATACATAAAAACAAATATTGAATTTCTAACTATTTATGATTTAGTAGATTCTGCATTATAGTCAGGGGATTATCCTGGCTTAACTATCCTTCAAGGCTTGGACAACAAGGACCTCGAATGGGTCTGAATTGAATAAGTTGTTGTTTCTTATCCCACTTGGCTGGCCAAGCCCACGAGCCCATACGTACTCATGATTGAAGGGGAAGGAAGCAGCTTCTGTTGTGATGGAGCACCCAGTAGGTAGAAGTCAGACTTTGGCTCCGTTACGCTCTTAAAGTCATACGAAACCGGGACCTACGGCTTAAAGTGGATTCCGAACCACTACAAACATCCATGGCACCGCCGGGATTCGAACCCGAAACCTGTGGCACCGAGCGCCAGAGCGCTAGACACTCAACCATTCAGGTCCCAAATTTGTGAATGCCAACGGCACGCGGTGTTCCCAGGTGGTCACCCACCCAAGTACTGACCGCGCCCAATGATGCTTGACTTCGGTGAGAACCGGTATATTCAGCATGGTATGGCCGTTGGCGAATTGAATAAAGATTCTTTTTAGCTTATGGTGTGATATGAAGTTAATTGTTAACTATGAGCGGTTAGGTGACCATGAAATAATATCCCCTAAAGTTTACTAACTATCAGGTAGTGACCCTGCTGAAAGATAATACCAATTCCCTTATCGCAAAGGTGACTAAGATTCATCAGACACATTCCTGCTGATTACCATCTTTTCAGAAGCTTACAGTATCATTTCGTAAAATGTAAGGTGACTTTGACAGAAAAGTTTTAAATGAAGCTAGATTCTATTTTAAAGGCAGAATTGAAATAATATCATTGGAAAGGTTAAGTGATTAAATAATTATATTTCGGCTAATTATTCAATTTTATTTCAATCGGAAATTTTTATCATTTTATTTTTATAAAAAATTATATTATTAAAAAAGTACAAGTGTTTTTTCTAATTTGATAAATCCAAAACAAACAATTAATAATTTTTAAAAAAAATTATAGGAAATAAAAAAAGCACTTTTGTACCAAAGAAAATATAATTTTGTATAGCTAAGCTAAATTAAATCAGCGATATATTTAATCCTAATGAAAGTCCATTGCCATGGGTCGATTTCTTGTTGGCGAGGGGTTATGTTTTGGCCCCAATTTGTTATCCGCCGATCGATTCTGGCCTAATATTAGCTGGGCCCCTTCATCGGTTTCCACTCGAGGGCCTAACGAGGCCAACCGCTAATTAAAATAATTCTTCGGATAATGAGAGACTTCACGCTGAATGTCTCTTTTCCCGCCAGAAGTTAGTTTGGTTGCCATGGAGACGGAAGAAAACTTTCCTTTAGAGGAATAATTCGATTGCAATTCACATCTCCCGTAGAGCTTCCTTGAGGAGGAAAATTCTGTTGTTGCCATTAATTACTCGAGGAATCAAAATCTTTCAAAAATTTTCCTTATGAATGAGTGCTAATTAGGAATTTTGAGGATGGTTTGTTACCGATGAAAGTCGTGTGGGTTGTGTGACGTATTTAGGATGATATACGTGTTGCCAAGCGTTGTTTCATAATTATGCGGAGTTATTTTTGGAAATTTAAAAATGTATTCAATGTCTCACATGGGTTTATGTATATATGGGTAGTGATTGTATAATGTTAAATAAAAATTCTATTTAACAAAATTTTGAAAATTTGTTTCTTTGAAGAATTTGACTTGAACACAATTTTGTTTTATTTAGAGTTTGTATTAATTATTTCGAAAGAAAATTTTATAAATACAATAATACTTGCTCCAAAGTATTCGGATAGAACAAGTTTTGATAAAGAAATTTTAATTAGTTTTCAAAAAATTTTTCGCAAATGATTGGATATTTTTTTTCTTTCTAATGCAGTTGGCAAACACAGACATGGACGTCTTGGATGCCTTAAGGCAAGTGCTGCACAGACGTACTCACTTTGCATTACCCAGGGGGCGCGTGTAACTTGAAGATAAGCTACGGACGCGGAGTAACAATGCCCCCGCAACGCTCTACGATCCTATTAGACCGGGACCTACTTTTTAAAGTGGATTCCGAACCACTACAAATAACCATGGCACCGCCGGGACTCGAACCCGAAACTTGTGGTACCGAGCGCCAGAGCGCTAGCCACTCGGCCATTCAGGCCCCCAAATGATTGAATATCCCCAAGATTAAAAAATAGCTTTTAGTTTTCTTATCATGGATTCCAAATAATTTGTAGTTCAAGTAGTTCCAATTCTGAAAAAATTTCCAAATTAAATATTATCTCTGCTATATTCAGGAAATTTCATATCGGTTGGCTATATATCGGTACATATTAAGGTAAATTATGGAATGAAAAAGCGGATTCTCTCGCAAAGAATACCGCGGAACTCTCGCAATTTATTGAAGGGATATCCTCGGACGATGTCATTGCAAACCTGAAAAAACAATCCTACCTCATCTCGAAAACACATTACTTTAGCAGTAAATATTATGATTTGATAGGAAACTTTCCAGATATTGGAACTATCACAAAATGGACACAGAACAGAAGACAGGATATACTCATTGCTCGTATCATCAGCAGAATGATCGTTACTCCCGCCCTGTTAAATAGATTCAACTTAGATTCCACTTCTTTCTGCAACAGATGTAATGAAGCAAATGACCTTTCACACATTCTTTTAAGATGCAGAAAATATTCCACCTCCAGATTACATCTATGGCAAAACTTGAATATCGACGAAAATAATATCACATTCAAAGCTTTTTTATCTAAAATTCTTGATTGCAAAAAAAAATCTGACTTTATTTCTCCAATCTCTTAAACGTTTTGATATTTATTAGTTGCATTCTCTCGGCACTCAGGGGATAATATAAATCCCTGTTTTTATTCGCACCAATTTCCTCACCTAACGGAAAATAGATCCTGCATCCTTTTTAGTGACGTATAAATAAGAAAAACGAACTGTTCCTATATAATGATTAGAGGATAGACCTTGTTGCTTCGCATCCCCATATACTCCTTCGATTCAGGATATAAGGTAAATTCATCTGAAAATAAATATTAGTACATATTAAGGTAAATTCGTAAGAAGGTAAATATCGGTGCATAAGGTAAATTCATTCGAAGATAAATGTTGGTACATACTGTTAAGGTAAATTCACATGAAGGTAAATATCGATACATATTAAGGTAAATTCGTAAGAAGGTAAATATCGGTGCATAAGGTAAATTCATTCGAAGATAAATACTGGTACCTACTCTTAAGGTAAATTCACATGAAAGTAAATATCGATACATATTAAGGTAAATTCGTAAGAAGGTAAATATCGATACATATTAAGGTAAATTCTTAAGAAGGTAAATATCGGTGCATAAGGTAAATTCATTCGAAGATAAATATTGGTACATACTGGTAAGGTAAATTCACATGAAGGTAAATATCAATACATATTAAGGTAAATTCTTAAGAAGGTAAATATCGGTGCATAAGGTAAATTCATTCGAAGATAAATATTGGTACATACTGGTAAGGTAAATTCACATGAAGGTAAATATCGATACATATTAAGGTAAATTCGTAAGAAGGTAAATATCGATACATATTAAGGTAAATTCGTAAGAAGGTAAATATCGGTGAATAAGGTAAATTCATTCGAAGATAAATATTGGTACATACTGTTAAGGTAAATTCACATGAAGGTAAATATCGATACATATTAAGGTAAATTCGTAAGAAGGGAAATATCGATACATATTAAGGTAAATTCGTAAGAAGGTAAATATCGATACATATTAAGGTAAATTCGTAAGAAGGTAAATATCGATACATATTAAGGTAAATTCGTAAGAAGGTAAATATCGGTGCATAAGGTAAATTCATTCGAAGATAAATATTGGTACATACTGTTAAGGTAAATTCACATGAAGGTAAATATCGATACATATTAAGGTAAATTCGTAAGAAGGTAAATATCGATGCATAAGGTAAATTCATTCGAAGATAAATATTGGTACATACTGTTAAGGTAAATTCACATGAAGGTAAATATCGATACATATTAAGGTAAATTCGTAAGAAGGGAAATATCGATACATATTAAGGTAAATTCGTAAGAAGGTAAATATCGATACATATTAAGGTAAATTCGTAAGAAGGTAAATATCGGTGCATAAGGTAAATTCGTAAGAAGGTAAATATCGGTGCATAAGGTAAATTCATTCGAAGATAAATATTGGTACATACTGTTAAGGTAAATTCACATGAAGGTAAATATCGATACATATTATGGTAAATTCATATGAAGTTTATTATCAGTACAGTTTAAGGTAAATTCATATTTAAGGTAAATATCGAAAAATAATAGGTATTCGATATTTATCGTCCATCTCTGATCAAACGCGTTTTATTTGGTTCAAACGCATTTTTATTTGATGACTGGGGAGACATTCTAATGACATCTGTTCAATTGTAACACAACTGAACATTTAAGAACAATATTTAAGATGGATGAATTCTGGATGGAAAATTCTTAAGATTCTTAATATTTTTCTTATTAATACATCTTCCTTGTTATTTTGACAGAAAGGTTCGGTTGATTATTTTACATTTTCATTTAAGATGTCAATATACATTTGATACATGGTGTCATCAATAAATTCATTTTTATCTACCCCAGAGGATAACTTGCACCCTATAACTCCTTTGTTGTCATACTTAACGACTAGCATAAGTTCTAATTTGGAAATCCTTCAAATTTATATAAGCCGTAACATAATATTAGGTACAATTTTATTACATTTGCTTTAACTTACAAATATAACAATGACAAAACATTATTTTATACTTTTGGCAAATGATGCTCGAATTTTCCAATCTTCATACTAATGAATCCTTCTTACCACTTTGCCATGACAACTGGCTAATATAAATATTCTTTGAACTCTTTTACACATATTCCATAAGATTCTTGTAATTCTATTCTAAGGTTTGTGCTCAAAACTCTTGTCTGTACGTTTATTTTCGACTGATGATCCACGTCATTCCATGAAATAACATTGATTTATTGGTTAGTTTATTATGACTTTTATTACGGATTATAATAGAAAGGACATTTGAAAATTTTAATGAACTTTAATATTTTAATAATATAATTTTTACCTCATCAAAAAAATTCGGTAAAACTAGAAAATTTCTAATAATTTTTTTTTTTTTTTACTTTTCTAGACCAACGTACAGTTGATGAGATATCCAAAATGCCGAGGTATAGTCAGTAAATTCATATAATCCAATACCTTTACTTAATTTTATTTACACAAGTGACATGTGACGATATATGGGAACATAATATGTAATATTAAAGATACAGATACATAATCCGTTTCTACAACGGGCAACTAACAGCAATAAATAGAGGGATTGGTTTGGTTTGTCACTCTAAGGTCATCTTGTGCACACTTTAGGCTAAACAGACCGGGACCTACAGTTTAAAGTGGATTCCGAAGCACTACAAACACCCGTGGCACC